TAGGAAACTTCCAGCTGTGGTCACTAAAGAGTCATTTGCTGCAAGACCAGTTCTACTTTCTGCCCATCTCTTCCCCGTTTTTGTGGTGTATGAGCAGATGTTTCAAGAGTGGGAGTCAGTCTAATAAACACCAGCTCTTTTATCTAAGAATATCATTCTTAGACAACCCGTAAATGAATGGTAGCTGCTAAACTACTTACCCTTGATCTGTCAGTGGGCAGCCATAACCTTGCACAGTGATCAAGCCAAGTATTTTCCCTTCAACAGCAAAAATGAAGCCCCAAGATGCAGACTGAGAAACCCACTTTGACTATATATTTACTACCACACCATTCTGCATTTTTGAAAGTGTAAGCACAGGCTTAGCAGCTTCTGCTCCTTCCTTTTCTCGCAAGGATGACTGTGTGTATGTGCCCAACATAGCAACCATGTGGAGATTGTACAGCAGTACCACTGGACTGCCAACCACCAGAGGATCTGGTTTAGGGGCAGGGTACTCAGAGGCTGGTTGTGACCTGCTAAATTGGTTATCTTCAGTGGTTATCTCTGATTTCACATTGTTTTCCATCAGGGTAGTTTAGAACATTGGTAAATTATTGAAAATAATCCTAGATACTTTTACCTTTTTATTGGGGCTCCTGACTGAGTACAGTACAAGATAACCTCTGCGCTATCTGCTTCATAATATTTTAAGCCCTTACAAGATATTGGTCTCTATTACTTTTACTTTATGGAGCTTTCTGCTAATACCTAGATCAGCAGATCTTTCATGGGTGCAGAACCTCTCGATGCAAGCATAATAACTCCCTAACAAAATATCCTCCACACTTTTCACTTGAGATGACAGCTCCATTTTGTTGAACATCTGCCGAACCAGCTGATACCCCTGACCTTTCTATAAGTGCTGTGCATGCCTTGACTCTGGATTGGAGAAAGCCTTCTAGAAAGTTATGCTGCATAAAAGGCTACGGGTTGATCTCTATCATTCAAAAGGAAGAAAGGTTCCTTTGAAAAACCTGCATCATTTACAAACATAAAAATTCAGAAGCATTTTATATTTCTGAGTAGGCATTTATTAAGATGGCAATACATATAAGTTTATGCTGACATCTTTGTACACACAGAACCAAATAAAATACCATGAAAATATTTCATGCATATGCATTCAAGTTAACTATTTGGTTTAATTATGAGTGTTTTATATTACTCTTCCCTTCCCCAACCCCACAGAAATAATAAAAGACCAATTGATAAGAATGACTGGTGTAACCAGAAAAATTATCACCATGTCTGAACTGACTCTTCCTTTAATATCAGGATTCAGAAACAATGAGAAGTCTGAAGTTGGTCATACATGCAACATTACAGCTAGGTGAAAAACATCCCCATTGGTGTTTAAGTCTATGGATTTTTGTGCGTTAGACCCCACACTCTTGTCTGATTCTCTACTTACATTTGTACCCCCTTCTTTTATACAACCAGTGTCTGCAGACCAGCAAAGTTGACTTCCAGCAGTCTGACATATCTTGCTATGTGCAGTATTTTTTTTATAAAGTGACCCTGAATAGTCGTATGTAGCTGCTGGCAGAGCCCAGCATGTATTCAGAGAAGGTGAACTTTATTCATAAACACATGTTCAGTACCAGCATGAGTCTTGTCCATTATGCACTGGCACTTCCTGTATTCATTCAAAATAGCTCATATAGCCGACAAAATGAGATGCTCACCTACATTTTATGGGGACCTCTTTAAACAGCCAACCCTGAATACAATTTTATTGGCAAGTTCCTCTGAAAGAAAGTTTAAAGATACAGATGCTGATGGCAGTCTTTGATAAAACAGAGAATACACTTCATTGTAATACAATTTATGACAAATGTGAAGAAACAAGGGAAGCAGCAGATTTAAGGGCCAGTCTTAACTTAGAAAGTCAGACGGAGGGCCAATCTAGGCATTCTGAACAGTGTTCCACTTCAGACTGAAAAGATCACGTTTGAATGCTCATCGTGTAAAACTGCTTGCAAGCAGAAACCTAGCATTTCCAGGAGAAGGCTAGGCTCAGACCTTGTCCCTGACAAACCAGCCTTTTGTGAACAGAGTAATTTTTATGTGGGAAATCATTTAAACATTGGATCTTCATCTGCAGTTTGAAATGGTCTAGTCCCAGGAACTCTATGCCACAGGAACATATCTGGGATTGACAGGGACAGGAATTGCAAGCAGTATCCAAGCACATGTCAAAATCCCACCTGTTTAACAATTCTTTCAATTTCCTTTCCAAGCACTGTTCAAACAGGTTCGTTTCAAAAGGGGCACCTACAGTGTGAACAATTCCTTTCAAGGAGTACATTTCCAACATCTGCAACGTTACCATTTTAAGCAAGCAGCAAAACAGTACCAGTTTTCAGAGGGAGGGACGACGGAGTCAGTAAGTGAAGAGGGTAGTCTAACTGCGGAAAGCCTGGCAAACAACATTCTCACTAGCTAAACTGAATTTTACAAGTCTAACCACTTAAGAAGCCAGAAAATGATATTAAAAACAAGCATAAATATCTGGCAGTGTGTTTCAGTATGGTCAATTGTACTTGGAAGGCAAGACCCCATGTTTGAATTCAATACTGAAAAATAAAATGGCTTGGCCACCTTTTCCTCTTGGCATAGTTTTAAGGAACTCTTCCACTGCAGGAAGTTTGGTGGCCCTCTTTCACAAAGACCAAGGTGTTTCTCAGTCTGTGCTGTTTTAAATGCTAAAACTTTAAAATGTTATTAAAATCTAACTTAAAGTCTAGGAAAAACTCCTTTTTAATCATGCAAAAAGGGACCATCCTTTCTAACAACTTCATTCCTAATGTAAGAATGCACGCATCACTTGGGGGAAACAGGTAGTTTCAAGGTCAGTCTGACTTCTCCAGTAACCAGCTGGTTTGCAAACTGGAATACTTTCCTTTTAAAAAAAAAAGTCATCTTAATCACCTTGCATCATAATATAAAACTTCTGGTTTGTATGTACTCAATACATTTTTTCTGTTTTTAATAAAAATTGTATAAAAATAGAAAAAAACAGAATTTACATTTCAGAAATTATGTACTTGATGGTATAGTAGGAGACCAACGCTGAACACCAAATGCATAAGTTGGCTATTTAACATTTGAGCTATTCATAAAAACCAGGAAGGCCATACATCGCAAGTTTGTTTTCTTACTGACAGACCTTCGATGGATAATGGTTCCAGAAATCTATAGCTGATGATTTTTGGTTTGTACAACTTTGCAGAAAAAGAAATATCCAGATATATCTTATGGCACAACTATGTGTAGGAAAATTATGACAGCGGTGTAATTAAACACAGTGTTTTGAAATATGTCACAAGCTTCTACACTAGAGAGAAAAGTATGTATTTCACCCATAGGTTTATTATTTTCATTTATGGCAACTTCAGAACAGATAGGCACCTCTTTTCCTGTCATCCACCTGAAATCTATCACTTCTAAGAAACAGAAGCAATAATGAATTTATGTTACATGATCTTCTGTCCCCGTCACAGATGAGTGGCAGTCCTAGCAGAATGAGAATTATTATTCTGATGTCCAACAACGCCACGGTCACACATTAGAATCCTCATCTGTTATGCTGGCACTAGGGGAACGAGTAGCAAAGTCTTTGAACATTTCATCTTCTTTTAACATGTGCTGTAAACAGAAAAAAAGGGGAAAGTTTGAAACACTTGCCAATATCCAAGGAACAGGGATGAACTGCCACACTCTTGGGGGACACAAGACAATGCCGTCCTCCAGAGCAGGAGAATAGACTCAAAACTGGCCATTGCCCAGTTGCCTTTTGAAGTCTGATAACCCCTTTATGTTTGACCTAATGAAGACCAGAGAGAACAACCCTGTTGAAGCTAAAAGCAGGGCTGTTCACTGTCTTGATGAAAGATCTCCAGGGAACCCTACAGAAGCCACCCCAAGTTCCAGGATGCAAATACAATACCTCAAACATACTGAAACTGCACAATCAAAAAAGGCACGGTTCAAAAAGACAGGAGTGCTGAACTACTGATGCACACGGGCACAAATATATCACAAAACTAAACTTGTTTCTTATGGAATTCCAGGAAGTGTATTTGGAAGGAGAAAATGGAAGAGGAGACATAGCTTGTGGCAGACCCCATGCTTTAAATGCAGCTGCCATCTCTGGCATCTCCAGGTTTGTTTGTTTAAGATGTAACTTAGAGAGAAGAAGAGGGAAATGGAGAGCTGCTGCCAGTCAGAGTAGACCCTCATGGCCCAGATGGAGCAGTAAGGACAAAAAAGAAAAGGGGAAAAAACTGAACCTAAAACCTAGAATTCAGAACCTAAAAAGGTTAGTCAAGAATAGAAGAGGGTCAACTCTAAAAATCTAATTATGAAACATACAAAAATATACATGTATTTATTCAACACAAATTAAAATAACAAATAAGGGCCCATTCATACCTCATATACAAATATAAAAACATAATGAAATAGACCTAATGAGGAACATTTTATTGGGAACATTTGGCTGTACAATCTCAGGAGAATATACAGTTGACCAGAGAGAAGTACTACTGGACATGTGATTGCACTGGAGGCTTCATTTGTATTTTTGTATTTCTTTTCTTTGCCCAGTGGTTAAACTTTGAAACAATTGTTTTCCGGTCTTTATTTCATATTTTGTATATGTATGATTGTATATATTTTTACATATCAGCCAACATGTTCTATTTGTATTAGACCTCTGAGGAAGGCCTGTAAAGGCCGAAACGCGTTAGGTCTATTTCATTAGCCTTTGTATGTTTTTATATTTGTATATGGTATGAATGGGCCCTTATTTGTTATTTTAATTTGTGTTGAATAAATACATGTATATTTTTGTATGTTTCATAATTAGATTTTTAGAGTTGGCTCTCTTCTATTCTTGACTAACCTTTTTAGGTTCTGAATTCCAGATGGAGCGGTGACATGTTCTGTGCGAATCAGCATTGGGAAGGCACTGAGAATTGTATGAGTGCCTTTATCAGCCACAAGTCTCAGGGCATGTGCCCATCTATGACATGCATTCCTAAGGGCTTACAGTCAAGTTGTTGATGCCTTCAGAAAATGCTCCTATTTGTCTCACGGTTCCTTCAGAATCTTCCATCTGAAAGAAAAATATGTCAAGAGTTAATCAAATCCTATGGATATTTGAGGTAGATGAATACATCGTTCCATTACACTGACAGCATTTCTTGGGCTATAGACACCGAGGCATGAAATTACTAGTTCAAATGCGTCATTGTAGCTTAAGGCAGAGTAAGGAAGTGAGGCTTTCAGGGGGTTGCGAAGAAGTGCAGGAGACCGCCTGACTCTGCTTAGTTGCATGATCCCACTCCACATGCCTGAATTTGGCCATCCAAAGATGCCAAACACTTCCAGGCCTGGCCTCGTGGCCTGTTGTCACTGGTCTGTGGTGTCACCATCACAGGGAGAAGCACAAGTATGTATGATGATGGTCACAGCCAGCTGAAAGAGCTGACCAAGCAGTTTAATAACTCCGTACAAGAAATTCTTCACAAAAGCTTCAGAAGTATGGGCAGGCCAAGGAAATATATGACCAATGTGAGAGAAGCTCATCATGCTGCAAGTGACAGAAGGCTAAGTGTGGGAATATTTGGTGTTTGCAAGAAGATCTTCCCAGGGGAGTGAACTGATGCATGTGACTGCGGAGTGAAGAGACAAAGGTGGGCACTAAAGGAATGGTAAGTGAGTGAATAGAGGAGACCACCAGTGCGGTACAGTAAACAATGTCAGACTTGGATTGGGGGTGCTTAGGGTCCATGGAGGTATCACACGGGGGGGGGGGTGTTGCTCACTTCATGGGTCTTGGGCCACACTCTCATCTCAACCAACTCACTGAATTGTTGTGGGAATAAAATGAAACAATCACTTTAGAAGAAAGGTAGGCTGCAAAGGAGAGTGAGAAAGAACTTTCAGTTATGCCAATAACACTGAAATTACCAAGATATTTGAAATTCAGGTTTCTTCTGTGCAAATCTAGGTGTGCATCAATATCCTAGAGACATTCATCAGGATTCAGATTTTATAACAATGTTACATGACCGAAAGGGAATTGTAAACTAAGGAAGCACTGAAAAATACAGAGGGGGTGTGCACACACGCACACACACATATACATACACGCATGTGCAGATTCAAGTGTTATTGTTCCAACTTAGCACGAAATGACACCTGAACTGCAATGACTGTTACCTGCTCTAGTCTGTCCAGATCTTCATCGTCATAGGGCCTGATGTCTAAACCTGGCCGGAAAGCGTTGTTTGATCCACTTCCTGATGCCTGTCCTAAATCCATTGGGCACACATACTCTTCCCCATCATCCTGCTTCTTTTTCCGCAAATTTCCAAAATTACCAAAACCAAGTTTCTTTGGCTGAAAAGGACAGACAGACAAAACAGCTCAATCAGAAGTCAACAGCCAGGCAATATATTCTCCCCTCCCCCACCCCTCTGAACAGTTAAAATCTTATAGGATTTCCACTAGGTAGATGAAGGCACTACAACAGGCAAAGGTCAAACAATCACTGTTTTCTGAAACATGCTCATGTACAAAGAGGGTAAAAAGGTATCAAGATTTGCAAATTTAAAAAGAAGAGGCTAATTTTAAATCATAGATTACATGTATCCATGCGCATAAATGCAGGCATACAATTAACCAGTCACTTAATTGCATTGTGGCACATAAAATTGCCTCTGAGCTACTGCACAGGGAGGCTTTTTTGAGATCTGGAAAATCTTTTACACTTTTGATGTGCCGCAAATGATTACTATCGTTGGCAGGCTGGCCAGTAAAAATTATTTTATGGACTATGAACTTTTGTAGACTTTTTTGTAAGGCTGTGTCGACTAGCTCCTGATCATTTCTTCATTGCAAATTCTAAGCACAAATTGCCCGTTAGCTAAGCACAGCAGGGAAGAAAAGTGTAAGACAAACAAGATGCAAGATATGCAGAACTGACTTGGAAATATTTGCACCAAGGTTAGGCAACAATGTCACTGATAAGATACACTGATTGCTGTTTACTACTGATCACCAGGAAAATTGTGTAAATCCTGTTACTGCTACTTTATAATTCAGTTAATGTTCGATTAGCCTTTTAGAAGTTTTAATAAAACAACACCCTAGACCTCTGTAAGAGAGACAGAGGCAGTTAAATGAGGAACTGTGCAGTACCACTCGAAACACTTTTGACGTGCCTTCACTTTGGCTGTAGCTGTCAAGAGGACATAGTCTGGAGATTCCATAGCTTCACACTTTTGCTGCTGGGCCTCTTGACCAATCAGCAAGTTGAAATGAGTTGCCAAGTGTCGCCTCAGTAGTGTCTTGTTGGGGGGGATGTTTAGCAGCTGCGCCATGGTCTCAACATTGAAGCGAGGCTCCAGCACCTGCACCACCAAACAGAACAGACCTCAGTATTGCTGGTAGCACCCCTAGTTTACCACACTACTCCCCAGATGTGATCCTTAAGTAGGGATGGGCATGAACTGGGAAAATGGAGATTCGTCCCGGTTTGCGGTTCGTGTGGCTGCATAAACCTCCCCCGTTTAACTAACCAGTTTGGTTCGTGAAGTTCGGGGTCCTCTCCCTCCTTTCTGCTGGCAGTGGCTCCCCAAGGCCAGCAGAACAGAAGAGGGGGAAGATCTTGCAAAAGTCATTTAAAGTTCCCTTTAAATGGCTTTTGCAAGCAGGCGCTGCACATGAGTGAAGACCAAGTGGCGAGTTCACCCAGAAGTGAAATGGATGCAAGCCATTTCAGCGATCCTTTTTGCTCCCCCCTGCTTCCCACCACAAACCCCACAAACCTCCGAAATCACGTGGAGGGTTGTGGATCGGGACGGGTGTGAACCACAAACTAGCTGTGTTCGTCATGCAATTAGGCTTGTGACAAGGTTCATGCCCATCCCTACCCTTAAGCAAGAAACAAAGGAAGGGAAGCGACCATTATGTTTAAAACAAATACCTATAATGTAATTTCTGTGATTCAGACAGGCGACTATATAGGAATAAATCAGCAAATTACCAAAAAAAATAAAAAATGCAGGTGCACTCTTCCCTTTACATTCAGAAATCTATTTCTTTACTTTGCCTAACACTGCTATCTCAAAAGACTGCATTTATATTATCCGATAAAGAAATTTGAAATATCAAACTCTTACCATTAAACCACCATGAACGCCACTTCCCCTTAAATTAGGAGCATATTCTGCAAGATCAATGGACCGCAACCACTCCATCACCCGGTGATTAGTCCATTGGGCAACCTCTGAGGGTGTGATGTTATTCTGTAATAACCACATTTGATGAGCGTTAACATGCTGGTCTGCAACCATGAACCTTTTTCTGCAGCTGATTCAGCCCCCATATTTCTAATTTCCAGCAGCCCTGCTTACCACCCTGATAGACTAAAGAGACAAGGTGCTCTTTTCAGACCAAGCTACCCAGCAGCCTCTAATGAAAACTTTCTGATCTCAAATAAAAGGAGGTTGGATCAAGTAGCAGAATGCACCCACAATTTTTTAAAAAACATCCCTTACACACAGAACTAGAAAAGATCATAGCTTCGTTTTCTCTCTGCCATGCATATATGCAGGGAACTGGATTTTTAAAATATGAGGATGCATTCAGTCACTGGATTCCACTGCCTGCCTTCCACTGCCTACCCAGCAGTTCGAAGTCTAGCAAACAGATGCACCATATGAGTGAATGTTCCACATCCCTTGGCCCTAGTTTTGCCATGCATGGAACAAAGCTAGTGCACCTGCCCACACCTCATCAGACACCTCTTGAAAGCCAAGGATTGCTCTCAAACAATGCACACAAAACATTGCGTGAAAATACCTTTTTCTAAGTGAACATCATGGCTTTTTGGGTGAATTGGATTTTTTCCGCCTTCTCTGTGTCAATATAAAAAGGTAAAGGTTCCCTTGCTCGAAATCCAGTCAAGTCCGACTCTAGGGTTGCGGTGCTCATCTCCGTTTCAAAGCCGAAGAGCCAGCGCTGTCCGAAGACGTTTCCATGGTCATGTGGCCACCATGACTAAACACCAAGGAGCACTGAACGCTGTTCCCTCCGAAGTGGTACCTATTTATCTACTTGCAATTTCTTGCTTTCGAACTGCTAGGTTGGCCTGTGTAATATGAGACTCACCAGGCTTAACACAGCCCACCAGCCTTGCATTGTGGCCTGCCAGTTGTTCAACAACCATGCTATTGTTGTTTTAGGAGGCTTAACAAGTCACTGGCAAACTGCTACCCCTGGCTGCAGAGCTGCATTCACTGCTTGGGAGTTGTAAGTTGAGCCATCTCGAAATGGGTGTGTTATGCTGTCAAGTCACTTCCAGCTTACGGTGATCCTGTCAATTAATGCACTACAAAGTGTCCTATCATTGACAGCCTTGCTCTGGTCTTGTGAACTGAAAGCCATGGATTCTTTTATTGAGACGACTGATCTCCTGGTGAGAGTTCCTTTTTTCCTACTGCCTTCAACTTTTTCTAGAACGATTATATTTTCCAGTGAGTCTCCTCAGATATCTGAAATACCTGGCACAAAATATGATATTCAAGAGAACTACTGTGTAACACATTAATTAAAGAGATAGAGCAATTCATATCTTAGTCTTTCTGCTTCTAGAGGTATCCACCTTCAAACCAAATACTGCCTCAAGCTAATATTTGACCTTAGTCTCTTGCAGAAAGGTAAACATGTAAGCACATCTCAAACAGACAACTCAAGATTTGAAAATCAACCCGCTTCTTTCTCCCAACTAAGAGCCAAACTGAATTCTCAGAAAACATCATGGATAACTATATCACTTGAAACTGGAGAACTTATTTGAATGCTCCCCCACATTAAAAAAAATCTCCATGCACACAGAAAACTTGTACATCATGAAAGTTTCTGAAGCAGGGGAGCCATCAAATATGACACGTCATGGATCACACTCATGTGATCAGATCAAGATGTGGCTGCTTTAACACTGCATCAAGGTGTTCATTAAACTACTAGCAAGCACATACTTAGCAGAAGGCAGGGGCTGTGATATACTGACTGCAACGATAGCTCATTGGCTTAGATGTGGGGGATAAATTGATGACTGAGTTGCTAAGATTTAAATTGAATAAGGAAATGTATCCATATAACTAAATTGACAATAATTAAAAAGTGTAAAGTATGGTAAGCAAAGGAACTGATCAAGACTCACAAGCATACTAAAGAGAACAAAAGCAAATAATCCATAACATTCATTGTGAAGAATCAGTGTAATGTGTTGGTATTAAAAGTGGTTACCTCATCTGAAGGCCTCCTGCGCAGACAGTTGGGTTCAAAGTTATTTATCCTGAGGACTTGAATGGCACGTTTGATACTGAGATGGTGGAGGACACTCACAACTTTCAAGGAGAGCAAGTCATCCTGCCAGGGAGGATGTAAAAATAATGAAGAACAGGCATATATAAATCAGATCTAGAACAAAGCCTAAAGAAAACTAGAAAAAACAGATTCAAATGACAGCAGATTCATTCCTTTCTTGCAGCAGAAGCAACAGAGAATCCTTTGGCATCTTAAGGACTAAACATTTATTTTGGCAGAAGCTTTCACAGCCTTGAGTCAACTTTAATTATTTGACAGATTTCCTTATTTAAACTGCTTAGATTTCTGCCTTTCCACACAGCTCCAGGAAACTGACAGACAACATTAAAACAGGTACATTAAAAACAATAAAACTACAACTACACAGAATGTCAACAATAAAGTTACTGAAATATCTGCACAACAAACACTAGAAGACAAACAAGAACCACAACAGCCCTCCCATGACAACTAAGCAGCTGAGTAAGCCCTATGGAAAACCACTGCCTTACCCATTATGACAGACCCCTGTTACTTTCCCACTCTGAGGCAATTTTCCTGCCAAGATTCTTTTTAGAATTTGGTGTAGTGGTGGCTTCCGGTCTGGCTAAGATGGAGGACTGAAGCGTTTCGCGAACGTGCGAAGCGAGCGACGGCCACTTTCGACAGTTTGGGCAATACACAGCCCAACGCATCACTCCCCAGCGAGGGGGGGGGACAAGCAGGCAGCAGCGCCCTAGAGGGAGTGTGAGGTTGGCGTAATCCAGCTTCGGAAGAAGTTGAATTGGGCTTTGACCTCCTCCCACGAAGAAGGCAAGTGCCAAGCAACTCTATAGTGGCCGATCGAGCCGGACTACCGGCATAAATTCTTCGTCAGCAGACCTCTTTGAAGAAGGACAACAACTGTGAGTTAAAAGAAGCAATGCGAAACCCGTTTTGAACGTGCTAGATAACAAAAACGTGCCGCTTACCTGAACTGAGTTTGGAGTCAATTTGAATTAAGCGGTTGAGCGGAAAATGAATAGTAAATCCCAGAAATCCGATTCCGGAGAGAAAAAAGTTGATTGAAGCCTTTAAAAACTGTAAAAACGCTTATTGTTTAACATTCCTGTGGTGAAGATTGAGCCGTGTGCGCAACTGTAAAATCGAAACTCACGAACAATAGCGTGGGAAGAGCAGGCTGGTGTTACAAAGAAAGAGGTCCGTGTGAAACATCCAGGAAGTTGAATTCCTAGACGGGCATTAGCGAAAGGAAGACAGTGGAACTTTTAAAGGTGCCGGACCGGAAGTGACTTTTATGCGGAAGGAAGGGCCTGCAAAATACCAATCTGACCTACTCTACATGAAATTACCATAGAGAAGTTGCGCCCGACATTTTGAGGAGGACTTCAACTAAATTTGCTTTTTTAATATATTTCTAAGGGTCTTTGGAAAGCGTAAACAGAGAGGCATGGAGGACTAAATCTTATCATCTAGAAGAGTGCTTTATTTTGCGAATCTGTGAATTGGAAAGAAATCGCCAAGACGGAGACCAGGAGAGGCAAGAAAAGAGCCGACTCAGACCCAGAACTTAAACCGGTTGTGAGACCTAGGATTGGATCTACTTCAACCCCCAAAATGTCAAGCGAAAGAGAGAAAAAAGAGATGCAGGCCTCCATGGAAGCAATGGAGAAGAGAATGACAGAGGCAATACAAGCCATGGGGGAGCAGATAGAAAAAACATTGGGGGACCAACTGGAGAAGCAAACTCAGATTCATCTGAAACATCTAGAAGAAGTCCAAGAGAAGAACATAACAGCATTGAAGGAATTGGTTACTACAGAAATAACTTCAATCAAGCAAGAAATGGAAGGAGTTAAGAAGGATGTTCAAGCAAATGCAACCAAGACTACAGAGACAGAGGAGAAGATACAAAAAATAGAAGAGAAACAAGATTCTTTGACTCAACAAATTACAAGATCAGAGACAATGATGGAGTTCAGAAGGATGCAGACTCATCTGAGATTCAGAGGCATTAAGGAAACAGAGAATGAGAACTTAAAAGAAAAAATGATGGAAGTGATAACGGCTTTTCTGGGCGAGGAGGAAGGGTCAATGGACTCAGACTTTGATTTGATTTATAGAGTGAACTCCAGAATTGCAGAAAAGAAGAATTTACCAAGGGATGTAATTGTACAATTTGTAACAAGATCAATAACAGAGGAGATATTCAAGAAGCAATTCAACGTCCCTTTTGTAATAGAGGGAAACAAAATTATGGTGATGAGAGAACTCCCAAGAACAATACTGCAAGACAGGAAAAGGTATAAATCCTTGGCGGACAAACTCAGAGCTTTGAGCATCAGATATAGATGGGAGATTCCACAAGGTTTATCCTTTACGTATCAAGGTGGGAGGATTCAGATCAGATCGATGATGGACTTTTATAAATTTAAGGCGGACAATGCGGACGTCTTTGGAGAACTTTAAAATAAAACGCATAATGGAGTACAAATTGTTGTCATGGAATGTTAATGGATTAAATTCACCAAACAAGAGGAAAAGAATCAATCATTGGATACAGAAACAGAAATGCAACGTGATATGCTTGCAAGAAACACATATTAGAAAACAGGATATAAAATATTTAAAGAATGCTTTATTTGGAATTGAATTTTGTTCTGCGGCCTCAAACAAGAAAAAAGGAGTTGTGACATATGTGAAGAAGGAGTTACAACCTACAGAAATTTTTAAGGACATAGATGGCAGATACGTGGGTGTGGAATTAATGATTCAGCAGAAAAAAACATTGTTGATCAACGTGTACGCACCCAATGGAGCAAAGGAAAAATTTTTTAAGGATATAACTGACCAATTACAACAATTGACTTATGAGCAAGTTATTATGGCCGGAGACTTTAATGGGACAATAGATCGTCTAGACAGAAAACCACAAAAGGACAACGAATTCAGCGGAAAATTGCCAAAGAATTTTTTTGAATTAGTTAAGCAAGAAAAATTAGAAGATGTTTGGAGGAAATGGAACCCGATGCAGAAAGACTTTACTTTTTATTCCAATAGACATTGCTCTTTTTCCAGAATTGATATGATTTGGATGTCTGAAGAATTATCAATGAAAACACATAAGACTGAAATTTTGCCAAGATGTAATTCAGATCACAATCCGGTGGTATGGAGTTCCACAGAAAGGAAAAAACCCTTTCTGTGGAGGATTAATGAAGACTTGTTGGATAAGAAAACGGTAATTGAGATGTTAAAGGAAGAAACGAAACAATTCTTTCAACAAAATTTAAATAAAGAAACACCGATACAGATTGTATGGGATGCTTATAAAGCGGTGATGAGAGGAATTCTCATCTCGCAAAACGTGAAGCAAAAAAAGGAAAAACTTCAAAAACAAACAGAAGTGTTAGAAAAAATTGCTCAGAAAGAAAAGGAATTAAAAAAGAAGCCTGGAAAAAAGCAAATTATTAAAGAATTAAAGTTGCTGAAGGAACAACTGAATGAGACTTGGAATCAGGAAATGTATTGGAATTTAAAGAAGTTACAACAGAAATCTTTTGAAGGGGCGAACAAACCGGGAAAATACTTAGCTTGGCAACTTAAGGCTAGAAGAGAGAGAAGAATGATAACCAAAATAATAGAAGATGGAAAAGAGTTCGTTGATCCTAATGGAATAAAGAGATGTTTCTTCAAGTATTATGCTAAACTATTCCAAACAACTAGAGTTGATCTTGAGAAGATTAAAACATATTTAAAGGAGATTCCACTACCAAAAATAAGTAAGGAATACAAAGATTTATTAAATGGTCCAATTCAAAAAGAAGAAGTGATGAAGGCAATAGAAGAGACAAAGTTGGGGAAGGCGCCTGGGCCGGACGGATTTACAGCGAAATTCTACAAAAAGATGAAAGAAGAAATTTCCCCGGTCCTGGAAGCTTTAACCAACGAAATAAGAGAAAACAAAAAGGTGCCGGACTCATGGAAAGAAGCAATTATTTCTTTGATTCCAAAGGAAGGACAAGATTCAACAAATGTAAAGAACTACAGGCCAATATCTCTTTTGAACAACGATTATAAAATCTTTGCAAAAATTATTGCAGAAAGGGTGAAAAACTATTTACAAACGGTAATTTCTGAAGATCAAGCGGGCTTTTTACCCAAAAGGCAGATTAGAGACAATGTAAGAATAGTAATGGACGCAATTGAATATTATGAAAAGCACCCAGAAAAAGAAGTAGCTTTTCTGTTTGTTGATGCAGAAAAAGCTTTTGACAATCTTAATTGGAATTTTATGCACCAGATGATGGAAAAGATTGAAGCGGGACAACATTTTAGAAATTGTATTGAAGCTATCTATTCTGAACAAAGAGCTAAAATAAATGTGAATAAAGAACTGACAGATAACTTCAAAGTACAGAAAGGAACAAGGCAAGGTTGTCCGTTATCACCGTTATTATTTATCTGGGTATTGGAAATACTTTTACAAAAAATACAGTACGATCAAGAAATAAAGGGCTTGACACATAAAGGACACCAATACAAATATCGAGCATTTGCAGACGATGTAATGTTTATGGTGGAAAACCCAACAGAAAAATTGACATTGCTTTTTCAAAAAATAAAGGAGTTTGGAGAATTGGCCGGCTTTTACGTAAATAAGAATAAAACAAAACTTATATGTAAAAACATGATCAAACAAAAACAAGTGGAACTACAAGAACTGGTACAATGTGAAGTAGTTAAAAAAACAAAATACCTTGGAATTGAATTAACGGCAAAAAATATAGACCTATATAAGAATAATTATGAGAAATTATGGACTAAGCTGACTCAAGATTTTAAGAAATGGGATAAAATGAACTTATCACTGATGGGAAGAATATCAGTTATAAAAATGAATGTCCTACCACGTTTGATGTTCCTGTTCCAAACAATACCAATTCTGCATAAAACGGATTTGTTGGCCAAGTGGCAACAAGAGTTGTCAAAATTTGTTTGGGCAGGCAAGAAACCAAGGATCAAAATGAAAATACTTTGTGATGCCAAAGAAAGAGGAGGTCTACAAATGCCAAATCTTAGACTATATTATGAAGCGGTTTGTCTAACATGGATGGATCAATGGGTGAAGCTTGAAAATGACAGATTGTTGGGGTTGGAAGGGCATGATTGTAGATTTGGCTGGCATGCATATTTATGGTATGACAAGATAAAAATGGACAGTTTTTTTAAACTTCACTTGGTGAGAAAAGCTTTGTATATGGTATGGACAAGATATAAGAAGTACCAGAGTGACTTAAGACCATTGTGGATTGTACCAGTAGAAGTGTTGATATCTTACTCAAGACAGCGAGGTAGAGACTGGTTGCCATATAGAGATTTAATTAAAAAAGAGGGAACAGAGTGGGTAATGAAAAAGCAGAATGAAATTGAATATGAATATGAGTGGTTGAAATATATGCAGATTTATGATCTTTTTAGATCTGACAAAAAAAACTATGGTTTTAGAGAGGAAAAAAATGAAATTGAAAAGGTATGGGAGAGTGGAGGAGGAAAAAATATTTCTAAAATGTATAAGGTGTTGTTAAAATGGTATACTGAAGATGAAACTGTTAAAGAACAAATGTTAAAATGGGCTATTAATATGAATAAGGAAGTGGCTATGGAAACCTGGGAATATTTGTGGAAAAATTCTATTAAGATCTCGACATGTACTAATGTTAAAGAAAATTGTTATAAGATGATGTATAGGTGGTACATGACACCTAAGAAGATTGCAAATATGAATCAAAATATGTCAAACAAATGTTGGAAATGTAAGAGGCATGAGGGCTCATTTTATCATATGTGGTGGACTTGTGAGAAAGCTGTAGACTTTTGGACAAAAGTCCACAATGAAATGCAAAAAATATTGAAATGTTCTTTTAAAAAAGCACCGGAAATTCTGCTTTTGGGACTTAAAATGGAAGAAGTCAATACGACTAAAAAGACTTTACTCTGGTACCTGATAGTGACAGCGAGAATGATTTATGCTCAGTTTTGGAAGACAGAAAAGGTACCAGAGGTTGAAGAATGGATACAAAAAGTTCTGTTCATGGCACAAATGGATAAGATTACAAAAAAACTGAATAACAAAGAAGACGATGAGTTTTTTGGAGAATGGAATGATTTTAAAATTTATCTGGAAAAGAACTGGGATGTGAAACAAAACTTAATATGTTTAGATCAATATTAAGTCAAACGATGTTATCTTTAGATTGTAATGATGAAAAACTGATATTGTTGATGATATGAAGTAATTTGGAGCAGGGGTGGAAGCATTGTGGGAAGCCATTGGAGGGAGGGGAGGAACTGGGAATGGGGTAGACAATTGATAGAATGAAATGTTTTATATGTTGTATTCCTGAGAAAATAAAATTTGTTTACCAAAAAAAAAGAATTTGGTGTAGTGGTTAAGTGCACAGACTCTAATCTGGGAGAACCGGGTTTGAGTCCCCACTCTTCCACTTGCAGCTGCTGGATGACCTTGGGCAAGGCATAGTTCTGTCAGAGCTGTTCTCTCAAGGACAGTTCCGGAAAGAGCTCTCTCAGCCCCATCTACCTCTCAGGGCGTCTGTTATAGGGAGGGGAAGGGAAAGGAGTTTGTAAACTGCTCTGAGACTCTGAGTGAAGGGCGGGGTATAAATCCAATCTCTTCTTCTTTTTCTTCTAATCTGGGAGAACTGGGTTTGATTCCCCACTCCTCCACATGCAGCTGCTGGTGTGACCTTGGGTCAGTTACAAGTTCTCTCAGAGCTGTTCTCTCAAGGGCAGTTCTTGAAAGGGCTCTCAGCCCCACCTACCTCACAGGGTGTCGGTTGTGAGGAGGGGAACGCAGATTGTAAGCCACACTGAGACTCCTTCAGGGAGTGAAGGGTGGGGTATAAATCCAATCTCTTCTTCTTCTCCTCTTTATCAGAACCCTTCTCTGAAGAAATCTCAGATGCTGCTGAATCAAAGCTAAGAAGGATGGGGGAGTCCATGAGGCAGAGAGGCAGTGCCTCCATAGCAAGCTTCAGTGCCTGTGACAATCACCCAATCCGGGCAGTGAGCAACAGAGTAGAAGAGTCATGTTGGGGACTCTTAGGCCGTGGCTTCGTTCCTGACTTTGACTTAGGAGCCTGCCCACCTTGTCGCTTTTACCCTCCCTGCATTTCTTTGCAGGTGTTGAGGGGTTTGATCTTGATGCGGAGCCTGATTGCTTCGAAGGCCAGAATGGTGGTTCAATGGGTTGACGTCGATAATTACAGTGTCAACTCGGGTTGATCTTGGTGTACAGGAGTGGCTATCAGCGAAAGAGCCAACTCAATCAGTACCACTCGAAGTCTCGCAGCCCAGTTTTTATGGGTCTGTTGGGAGAACTTGGCACAATGGATGTACGAGTTGGTATGGTGGCCTCCCCGCAGGCAAAGGAGGCACAGAGACTGTCCATCTGTGGGGGCAAGTTTACTCCCACACTTTTTACAGGGCAGGGCAGGGCCAAAGTGTGAGCGGGGTGTACTTCTTTTTGTATGACTGGTCTAAGGACTGTAGAAATAAATTGTTGTTGAGCAGGGGAGGAAGACGTTGGACAAAGCAGGGTCTTCTTATTGTTCTTTTTTTTTTTAGAAGTCGATAGTAAGGAAGAAAAGTAGTCAAAAGAATAAGGCTGATCTCATGATTTGAGAAGAAGTTCACCAACTGAGACAAAGAGTGACTGCTTGGCATGGCGGTCAGAGAAGAACTGGTGGGAGACCCAGGCTCCACCCCTGTGGACATGCATGGTGGATTCCCATGTGTACTTCGGGGGCAGAGTGCAGAAAAGAAAGATTTAGGACTTGTTAAAGTTACCAGTGGGGTCAGGTGCAGGCGCCCTTTCCCACAGGTGTGATGCACAGAGACCATGAAGAAGATCCTCAGCTCACATCGGAGGGGACGGGGAGCACTCTGGAACCTAGAAAGAGCTAGAAACCTTGAGAAATCTTCTCTGCAGCTGGCCTGCGCATGCATGGTCTCGTGTGGGGCTACACAGAAGCAACGAGGATGAACAAGGGATAAATAAAAGCCAAGGCTGAGATGTCAATGAAGATTATGTGCAAGTGGCACCTCACAGATGCTCTGGCACCACATGGATGCTCACTCAGACAAATGGGATCTGAACTTGGAACATTCTATAAGTTTAGCTCACTCTTTTTCCTTCAAAGGGGCCCTCCTGACTGTGTGTGCATGCCCTTAGCCATGGAGTGAACGACATCCTGCTCAGTACTCTCCTAAGCACTGCTGTGAGCTACCTGAGACTCCAGAGGGCATCTGCGGTAAAGAAAAACATACTGACACAACAGTTGTTTCCCGTGTCCATGTCATTTGCATTTGTTAGCAAGGCCTTCATTGGGCCCTTATATGTTTTTTAAGTTTTCTCGAAATAAATACATGTATTTTTACTTATAATAAGTTGTTATGAGGTTTTAACTATTGACCCTCCAGCAGGTTTTTTTTCTTACCTTTTGGTTTCTTGATTCAATTCTATTGGGTTAAGTTTCTTTCCCCTCCCTGATCCTGTCTGCCAGCATCTGCAGTAAACCCAGTGGGCAGACTGTGTAACTGCCAGGATGACTACTTGAAGACTACCTCTGACAGGAAAAAGCAACCTGATTTCCTCTGCGCCTTGTAGTGTCTATGCTCACAGGAGACTAATGAGCGACAAGAGGGTGGTCGATATCTGGAAGAGGGCGCTGCATCATAAAACTGCGTGGCCAAATGGTACACTTGCTCAGAACAGAGCTAAAGCTCTAGAATGTTCTCCGCACAGGTGCAGATCCCATGTACAGGACAGCACAGGGACCATGAAGAAGAACTTCTACTAAAGTAGCGCAGTTGGAAGAGTAAAGGTCTCAGGACAGAAAGACAAGGGGAGGAAGGAAAAGACCATGATTAACTCCCGAGTTTCATAGAGGCATTTGCTTACAATAGTCATGTAATGAAGCATTCGACCATCCACCTTTCCTTCATCAAACTGTGTCTTGTACTGGGGTAGTCCAATATCATCCAGCCATCCTTCAAGAAAAGAAAAGAAAAGAAAAGAAAGATGGTGACTGCTCTGCAAAGACGATGTATGTTTCTGATTCCATACTCTAGCAATAGCTGTTTGGACAATTTGGAAAAGCACAGAATAGGTACATCGTGTGGTATTTGGTACAGAATACAGTTTTCTGCTAAGGACACCTTTCATTTAAAAAAAAACTGTGGATCAACAAAAATACATTTGAAAGGGTGTAGACAACAGCTGCTGACATCTGAGAGGCAAGAGTGGAGGCCGAATAAGCAGTCAGAGGCCTAAAAGCCTCACCTCATTGTCTCCCCTTGTGAAAATAAAACCACAAGTGTGGCTATTAGTAAAACTGAAGAAAATATGCCAAATCAAACCCAATCACTTTATCGCCAGGTCTTAATTCTTATATAAGAATTGTGTGAGAACTGAAGTGAAAAAGGTGTCTGTGCTCACACAAACATGACAATGAAAACGAAGACTAGGGACAATTTGCCAGTATACAGCAAATTGTCACCACATAATCTCTGAAGTGATTGGTGGCATTAACGAGTTGCTTTAGCCATTTTGGTCTCTGTTGACATGAGCTAGCAGACACAGATTTTTATACTGAATTGGCCTAAAGAACACCTTAGCTAATGTCCAGACTAAAATTTTTAGCTCTGACATTTCTCCAATACAGAAATGAGTAAAAGGTAAAGGTTTCCCTTGCTCGAAAGCCAGTCAAGTCCGACTCTAGGGTTGGGGTCCTCATCTCCGTTTCAAAGCCGAAGAGCCAGCCTTGTCCGAAGATGTTTCCGTGGTCATGTGGCCAGCATGACTAAATACCAAGGCGCACGGAACGCTGTTACCTTCCCACCTAAGTGGTACCTATTTATCTACTTGCAATTTCTTGCTTTCAAACTGCTAGGTTGGCAGGAGCTGGAACTAGAGATGAGAGCTCACTCCGTCATGTGGCAACTCGGGTCTCGAACTGCTGAACTACTGACCTTCCACAGCCTGCAGTTCAGCGTCTTAACCACTTGAGCCACCGCAGCTCCTACAGAAATGAGTAGAACTCTTTAAAAACAAATATTGGGAAGTACTATAAATTAAGCAAGGATGCTTGATTTTTGCCTAATTTATACAGACAGCAGCATTCAGCTTTTTCTAGCATGGAATTAATATCATCTTGAGGCAGAATTTCAATTTTATTTTAGAACATCCAACCCACAGTCTATACACACGCTCCAAGCTCCAGTGCTCATACACAAAGTTTCCTCATTGGGGTTCTCACTGAAGAACGTAACAAATGAAGCTGAAGCAAGAAAAAACAAAGAGGGGGGAGGCTTTACTTGTAACCCAGTTGTAATCCAGTTTCCCGTGATTATTCTCCTCTTCTGATCCTAATGCCTGAAGCGACAGCTGCAGCTTTTTCCGATGCAGTGGATGCTTGATTCCAAGTTCCTATGTTTGGAATGTAAAATATGATCATTTAAGGCAAATATGAATGTTTACAAAGAGCGGGAAAGTCTCCTCCACAAGGCCCAGTGAGCTGAACAGGAGTATAGTTCGTGATGGGAGACTGAGGCATCCAGAGCATATCTCTCCCTCAGGATAATTCCAAATGGATTAAGGATGCAGCATTCTGGGCAGAAGTGACAGCTCCAAAATGACAGGAAACCCTCCCTAAGAAGCTGGCCAGGTAACACTGCTTCTCAGCTTGAACTGGATCTCAAGAATATTTTTTGTTCTTTCAGGAATTTCAAAACAGCACACATGGCACTGGGAAAATCTTGGAGGAAGAAGAAGAGTTGGTTGTTATACCCCACTTTTCTGTACCCTAAGGAGTCTCAAAGTGGCTTACAATCTCCTTCCCTTCCTCTCCCCACAGCAGGCACCTTGTGAGATAGGTGGGGCTGACAGAGTTCTGAGAGAACTGAGACTAGTCCAGGGTCACTTAGTAGGCTTCATGTGGAGGAGTGTGGAAGGTTCTCCAGATGAAAGCCCGCTGTTCTTAACCTCCACACCCCATTTTTCTAGACAGGTGAATGAAAATAATAAAAATATAACAACAACAAAATACAGCTTGGAAAAAATCTGTACAGTCCTCAGTCAAGAGTATTTGAAGAGAACTGTTTTCTCTTAGGGGAAAGCTTGTCTCTACTGGCAGTGCTATTTTATAGTGCAATCTTAAGAATACTTTCCTGAGAGAGAACCCCACTGAATAGAACTGAGTATGATTTGGGATAGATATGCTTAGGACTGGTCTCTTACAGTACAATCCTAAGCAGGTATCCTCAGAATCCTATTCAAGTGTATTGAGTAGGGCTTACTCCCAGAAAAGAGTTCTTAGGATTTAACTGTTGGCTGGTAGACTCTCCCAATAATAGCTGTTTCATACAAGGAAGCTCTCTCCTGATACCTGAAGACATCATTTAATAATTAAACATGAGGGAGGGGGGTGTCATCAGCAATTCCTTAACAGCTTTGTGATTCCATTGTGATTCCATATGCATACACAATCAAGATGGCTCCAGATCCTTACCTTCTCTAAATCCGTCTGAGAAGCCTGCAAGAGAGTCTGACCAGAGAGTATCCAGTGCCTGCCATTATTTATGTAAGAGCCCAGGCCCTGGTTCTGAAGCCAGTTGCAAACTTGCTCTTTTGTCCATTTTGCAAATGGCATGTCCAAATCACTAAAATGAAAAGAAAAAAAACTTGACACTTCAAGTGAGAACAAGACAAGTTTATAAGATCAACTGGAACCCAATTCATATATTACAACTGTACTTATAAGCTACTTCTGCACAGCCGGGCCCCACATTTCACTGGTTAGCATTTGTGAAAAGGAGTGACATGCAAGAAGTAACTGTAACTACTGCCTGATCAATGTCCTTTTCCCAGATGTGAATGGGCTTCCCTATTACAAATGCAGTGGAGGAATGAATGGGCAGCAAAGCAAACAAAAGGACCTTGCTCTGGCAGCGTTTTCCAGAATCTGTTATAATACCTCAAAACCAAAGAGTCCCTCAGTCACCATCCAAATTACCACTTTGTTTTGTGCACAACCCAATTCTTCCAACTGCATTAATCAACATGGAGGAGAAAAGCAAAGGTGATTCTTCCCCATTCTATCTCAGTGCTGACTGTCTTACTTATTGGATTGCCCAAGATCTCGCGACCAGCCTAGTCTTGGCCCAGCAGTTGCTCTTGTTCCTCCTCTTTTAAACTCGGTCTCTGGCAAGTCATCTGCATTAAATGTAGTAGACTGGCTTCTTATGAGTCTGTGGAAAAGCCAGGAAAAGAGTTGAAAGAAGACATGAAAGAAAAAGAGTGCATTTAACAGAGCAATATCTGTGGCACTGTGTTAATACCCACTAAGTAAATTAGCACAGAAGGATCTATCCACAAAATATTTCTAGTGCTTTCCAATAGCACAGTTTTATCAGAGCTTCAAAAGGGAATTAGATAAGCATATGGAGCAGAGGTCCATCAGTGGCTATTAGCCACAAGGTATAGATAGGGACTCTGGGGCAAGTGATGCTCTGTCATCTTGGTGCTTGGGGGGGGGTCAACAGTGGGAGGGCTTCTAATCTCCTGGCCCCACTGGTAGACCTCCTGATGGCACTGGTATTTCTGGCCACTGTGGGATACAGAGTGTTGGACTGGATGGGCCTTTGGCCTGATCCAACATTGGCATCTCTTATGTTCTTATGTTCTTAAAAAAGAAAGATCTGTAGTTGCTGGTTTCTGCTAATCAGCCAAATTAGCAGGTTCTGCTAATCAGCAGCTGTGAGAGCTAGAATTAGCAGAAACCACTTCAGAATTGCTACAAATGATGTGTAAATGTCATAGTCTGAAAGCATATTGAGTAACGGCAGCATGATGAACACTTCCATATAGGACAAAATGTGATCTGACTGCTGACAACACTCAGTCCCTGGCAACCAAGCTGGCTTGAACTGTGTACTACAGGACAAGGGTAGGTAGATACACTGGGAACTTCTTAATTGCAGAGAACAGGCCTGCCAAACTTAAGCAGAGTATTAAAAACAGGACCAAGGTTTATCTTGTATAATGCTATCCAGAGTTACATTTTGACTGGAGTTTCAAACTGGTAAGCAAACGCTGATTAAGAGGAAATCTGGTTAGCATTGACTGTGGTTAATACCACTGCTCATTTATCACTTATTCCCTGATAAAGGGCATATTTGTGGCATACAGGGGAGGTTCTGAGAGAAAGAACACATATTCCTGGAGCAACCTTCCCATCTCTCAACTATGGTGAGGAGACTCTCAGTGCTACATCGTCATTAGCCCTAAAAGGGGGAATCTGGTCTGGCATATCTTATGGTAATGGTCTACCCATTCTGCCTTATAGTCTTGTTACCTTCCAAACAGCTTTTTGATTCCTCTTGTTTTCTTTCTGGAGTCAGGAGATGGTGGAGTCAGAATCCCCCCTTTTGGCCGGGGAGGCAAACTAGCCAGATCCAGGTGGTCTGAGGATCCTTCTTCTGTCTCAGCTATTAAACAAAAACAAACATCTCAATTAATGATGGGTCAACTAGTGGCTCTTAATTAGATTCACTGTGTTTTTAATTTGCAAAAAAACACACTGGTGGACAGTGTTCCCTCTAAACTGAGTTGGTGTGAGCTCTTGAGAGTCCCCTGGCCTGCAAGGAGATCAAATCAGTCAATCGTAAAAGAAATCAACCCTGACTGTTCCCTGGAAGGCCAGATACTGAAGTAGAAGCTCAAATACTTTGGCCACCAAATGAGAAGGGAGCACTCACTGGAGAAGACCTTGATGCCGGGAAAGACTGAAGGTCAAAGAAGAAGGGGACGGCAAAGGATGAGATGGTTAGACAGTGTTATCAAGGCAACGAACATGAAATGAAGCAAACTCCGGAGCATGACAGAAGACAGGAGGGCCTGGCGTGATGTAGTCCATGGGGCTGCGAAGAGTCGGACACGACTGTGCGACTGAACAACAACAACAACAACAACAACAAGCTCACAGTTGTTTAGCCTCCGGCCCACACATTTTTGCCTTAGCTCAGGAAGGACGGCTCCAGAGCAAACTAATTTATGCAGTAGCCAAATCGCTCGCTCACAACTTTAATGCCAGCAGCTCACAAAGTAGAATTTTTGCTCACAAGACTCCACAGCTTAGAGGGAACAATGCTGATGGACCAGGTGAAGCTCAGCTAAGATGTATACAGGCAATATTACTGAGCATGCCTTTCTAGACAATACTAATGAAGGGGATGGGAGAAACATAATTCTTAAAAATGGGGTTATTACCTGATACTTATAAAATACTGTGCAATTATACATATGCACCAGTTAAGCTGCTCTGTGCATCTCCTCCAGATGATTGCATTGTTGCATTATTATGATGGCATTATTGGTCCTGGGCATAATCTGTGGTAGCCCCAAGTTATTCAGGACAAACAATAATCATTTTTTTAAAAATATATCCAGAAGAAGAAACCAGCCAAAGAAGCAGTGGGGCCTTTGGATGACAAGGGAATAAAGGAATTGCTAAAGGAATATGCGGAGATGACAGAGAAGCTCAATGGCTTTTTTGCTTATGTATTCACTGTGGGAAGTGTGGGGCATGTACCCATGCCACAGCCCCTATATTAAGGAAGGGAGTCTAAAGAACTCAGACAAATTGAGGTGACCAGAGATGAAGTTCTAGACCTACTGGGGAAATTAAAAACCAATAAGTCTCCAGGTCCTGATGGCATACACCTGAGAGTTCTTAAGGAACTCAAATGTGAGACAGTTGGTCGACTAACCCGTATATGTAACCTATCACTAAATTCAGCCACTGTACCAGAAGACGGGAAAGTAGCAAATATGACGCTAATTCTTAAAAAGGGATCTGGAGAGGAACCTGGAGATTACAGGCCAGTCAGCCTAATGGCTGTCCCAGCAAATTAGTAGAAACCTTAATTAAAGATAGAATTGTTAAGCAAATGAAGGAACAAAGCCTGCTTAGGGAAAATCAGTATGGCTTCTGCAAAGGAAAGTCCTGCCTTACCAGCCTTTTGGAGTTCTTTGAGAAAGTGAACAAGTATGTAGACAATGGTGACCCAGTAGACATTACATACCTGGACAAAAGTCAAAAAGCTTTTGACAGGGTACCTCACCAGAGTCTCCTGAGTAAACTTAGCAGCCATAGGATAAGAGGAGAGGTTCTCTTATAGATTAAAAACTGGTTAAATGACAGGAAGCAAAGAGTAGGAATCAATGGACAGTTTTCACAGTGGAGGGAAGTAAGCAGTGGGGTCCCACAAGAATCAGTATTGGGGCTGGTACTATTTAATTTATTCATAAATTATCTGGAACTAGGGGTAAGTAGTGTAGTGGCCAAGTTTGCAGATGACACTGCAACTATTCAGGATGGTGAAAGCCAAGGCTGACGGTAAAGAGCTCCAAGAGGACCTCCACAGACTGGGTGAGTGGGTGACAATGTGGCAAATGAAGTTCAATGTTGGTAAGTGTAAGGTGATGTACACTGGGACAAAAAAAAATCCCAATTTCAAGTCCAGGCTAATGGGGTCTGAACTTGCTGAGACTGAGGGGTAAAGATCCGGGGGTCATAGTGGATAGCTCAATAAAAGTGTCAACCCAGTGTGCTACAGTGGTAAAAAAAAGGCAAACACTATGTTAGGGATTCTTAGGAAAGGGATTGAGAATAAAAAGGCCAATATTGTAATGCCCCTGTATAGATCCATGGTGTGGTCTAATTTGAAATACTGTGTACAGTTCTGGTCACCGTTTCTCCAAAAGGACATTGTAGAGCTGGAAAAAGTGCAGAGGAGGGCAACCAAGATGATTAGGGGGTTGGAGCACCTTCCCTCTGAGGGAAGGCTGAAGAGTCTCAGATTTTTCAGTTCAGAAAAGAGACGACTAAGGGGGGACAGGATAGAGATTTATAAAATTATGCACGGGGTGGAGGCAGTTGACAAAGAGAAATTTTTCTCCCTCTCTCAAAATACTAGAACTCGAGGGCATCTAATAAAGCTGATGGGCAGTAGGTTCAGAATAGGCAAAAGGAATACTACTTTACACAGAGAGTGATTAGAATGTGGAATTTGCTGCCAAAGGATGTAGTAATGGCCACAGGAACAAACAGCTTTAAAAGGGGATAGTTTCATGGAGGCTATGCCTATCAATAGCTACTAGCCATGGTGAATGAGGAGAACCTCCACATTCAGAGGCAGTCAACCTCTGAATCCCAGGGCCAGGAGGCAACTTCAGGGGACGGTCTTGACTTCTATGCCCTGTTGTTTGCCATCCAGAGGAACTGGTTGGCCACTGTGTGAGACACAGTGCTGGACTCGATGGACTACTGGTCTGATCCAGCAGGGTTTTTCATATGTTCTTATGTTCAAGCTCCATGAAATGGGAGTGTCTGAAGAGTGGTGCAGGGGCCCCTCTGCTTGCTTTTCGTACAGTCTGCAAAGCGCTTTGTTTTAGTGTGCATCTTGCATCTATCTAGTGTATTAGTGTTAAATAGTGGGTTCCATGGATGGGCAGGCTCAAGTTTAGTGATCAGCTCAACTTTATTTGTGATTTCAGCAACAGCAAGACAAGACTCCAGAGCCTCAGCTCTGTTAAATAGCATGAAATTGCCACACCGAAACACACCCCACTCCCAGTGATAGGCTATTTACATAACATTACTACTTGATTGGTTTATTCCAGAGTCCTGGTCAGCTATTGTTTTTTTGCTCCAAACTCAGCCAGTCTCTGGGGTGATTCAATCAGGGATGATTTAATCCCATTACATAACAATTAGGAAGGAGCTGGACGGGTTTTTCTTTAATTTTTAACTGAAAGGTGGTGACAGTCAGGTTTATAGAATCATAGAATCACTGAGTTGGAAGGGGCCATAGAGACCAACCTAAAGCACCTCTAACAAATATTCGTCCAGCCTCTTCTTGAAAGCTGTCAGCAAAGAGGAGCCTATATTGTTGACTGTTATTTTGTGAGGCACACAGTATACCTAAAAATTAATAGTTATTAATAAACCAATACCAAATTACTAGTGTTAGAGCTTTTTGTCCAAATGTAGTTCTAATGCAAACTTGCTGTAAAAATATTTATAGCTTACCATGAATGTTTCACACACAAGGTCTATCAAGAACTGACAACACTGCATGTACCAGTTGAAATCCGAGCTACACAAAGATGCAGTGAAGGTCAAAGTCACCAAAGTCAACGATCACTAAAACCATGGAAAGATAACCTTCTCTTGCAACTGCCAACAATCTCCACTCTGATTAAGAGGGTATCTGGTTAGCACTGACTGTGATTAATAACACTGGTCATTCACTACAACATATACAAGACTTAACATAAGCCACCAGAAGCTAATGCTACAACATTAGCTGTTGCTCTCTTGGAATTTGTGTATTAAATTTGAGAACGTTAGCAACAGTGTATCAGTGAAATGACAGCCAACTCCTTTTTCAAAATCTATGTCCCACTTTTTGTTCTTGTTCCTTTGTCCCTTGCTCAAACATGACACAACCAGACCCAGGCTAAATGTGCTGATACTTCCGACTTTGGGGATTTTCAACAGAATCTACATCTTTCTCAACGAGAGAATGGATACTCAGTAAATGCCAGGTAAGTGGTTCCTGAGACAGGCAGAACACATTTCTAGGGGCAAACAGGTAACAAAATCATCAGCTCTCCATCCTAAAATTCACCACCAGCAGCTTTGTATTTATTGATATGCATATTTATTGTTCCCTGATCTAGAAAGTACTGTCTAGCCCAATCTTGTCAGATCTTAAGAGCTAAGTTGGATCGGCCCTGGTTAGTTTTTGGATGGGAGACCACCAGGGTTGCTACACAGGGTTGCTACACAGCAGCGGACAATGGCAAACTACCTCTGGATGTCTTTTCCCTTGAAAACCCTACAGGGTCACTATAAGATGGCTGCGATTTGACAGCAAAAAAAAAAAATTAGCTGACATGCTGAATGGATTCAGCAAGGGTCCAATTTCTTAGGACTTGAAACGTATTGCAAATGTTTAACCTAATGTTGAACATTCATACAAAGTTATCTGAACTCTGTGTTGAATTACCCAGGGGGTGAAACACTAACAAAATGTACCTTTGCTCAGCTTTAACATCCCCCCAAAAGAAGCTGTCTAGTTTCCACTGTCCTTCATTTGCCAAACGAGGGCACGAAGACACAAGATATGAAGGGCACTGGCCAGGCACAAGAGGCTTAAGAGCTGCCTAGAGCCAAGAGGAAAGGCTCAGTATAAATATTTAAAATAAATTAAAATGATATTTTTTCATTTTGCTTTATCCAGTAGCCAAATGCACAACTTGAGAAAGCTGACAATCCATGGTATGAATTAAAACTGTGTGTATGCATGGGTGTTAAACTAGTTATAGCCAATGCTGCTTCCTTGAAAACTGAAGGAAGGAAGCACGGAAGACCACACACCAACACATTCCACACTATGCTGCTGTCGGATTCCACCAAACT